TCATCATGTAAACTCTTGTCCATTGCTCTACTCAGTGTGCACAAAGTTCAATTCGCAATGTTATGCTAACGGATTGTTCCACAGTCTTATCTTAATCAGAGATCTAAGTAAATAGGGTTCTTTTGAAATATGATTATGAATGAATAATTAAACTTGATCTGTTTGATCTGATATGGCAGGCTGTGCATTCTTTTGCTTTGACGCATTCCACGTGTAGTTGTAGTGGAGAGAATCAGTGGTAGGTCCTACAGTTATGACTTGCTTGTCTTTCTTATGTGGTAGAAAATTGGATTCTGCAACGCGGCATTCACCCGAGCTCAATGATGGTAAACCCCAAATTTTATATCTAAATGAAAGTGGCAAAACTTTTGAAGTAGTCAATATTATCTGTCAACTGTCAAGTATGTTTTTCTTCAGCAGCCTTTGCAAATGCTTGAGCACAGAAATTTTAGTTCTTTCAACATATTTGTTCTGCATAGACAATCCTAACAAAGTTGAATTACAAACAGAGCTATCTGGAGTCCACAATGTTAATCTTTACTCCTACAAGAAGCTGAGAATCGCCACTGATGATTTTAGTCAAACCAATAAAATTGGGGAGGGAGGATTTGGTTCTGTTTATAAGGTAACCAAAGTTTCTCTTTCACTTTTTTTCCTTGTATGGAATCATGGTTAGTTATTATTTTTTAGTTACTGACATCTAATTCTTAACAAAAACATTCTTGCATAAGTAGGGAAAACTTAAGACTGGACAGATGGCAGCAATAAAGGTTCTCTCTTCAGAATCAAGTCAAGGATTGAAAGAGTTTTTGACAGAGATTCAAGTGATCTCGGATGTAGAGCATGAAAATTTAGTTAAGCTCTATGGTTGTTGTGTGGAAGGCAATCAAAAAATTCTTGTTTACAACTATCTCGAGAATAATAGCCTAGCACAAACGCTTCTTGGTATCAATATTTTCCTATTTTTTATTGAATTACACTTTTGTGACTGGCTGTTCAATTTTTTTAATTTTTTTTATAAACGGTGTCCAAAAAGTTCCCCCTATGCTTGTCCTGGGAGCACATATGAGATGAAGTAAATGTTGAGCACTAGCATGTTTGGCTAAGACACTGCTTTATCCCCCGCCCCCCCCCCCTCCCCTCACCAAAAAGAGTCTTCCTCACCCAATTCAGGACATCAGAAATAAGTAACTTAAAGTTACCTAAGTAACTTTCTGTTTCCAACATGTTTGGATAGGTTGCTTTTTTCTGCTTGCAAGTAATATAGTTACTTATTTTGATAGCAAGGTAGAGGTTACTTTCAGATTAACTTTTTTCCAACCTTGACCTACAAAAAGAATATTTGTTTTAAGTTATACTTATTTACATTATATGTTTTAAAGTGATGTGTTTATGTGACTCCCCGATGATAGACACCAAAATAAAGATGCCTCGTGCGAAATATAAATTCTGGTCTCACTTTTAAAGTTTGTTATAATGATTGTTTCTCAATATGCTAAGAGACTTTCATTTAAATGTTATTGTCAAAATGAAGTTATCTGACGATCTTCTGACATCCTGCTTTAGGCAATGGTCACAGCCGAATCCAGTTTAGCTGGCGAACTCGGGTTAATATTTGCATTGGAGTTGCAAATGGACTCGCCCATCTTCACGAGGAAATGACACCGCACATTGTCCACCGAGATATCAAAGCAAGCAATATTCTTCTCGACAAAGATTTAACTCCTAAAATTTCAGATTTTGGTCTTGCAAAGCTCATCCCTCCCGAAATGACTCATGTCAGTACACGTGTTGCAGGAACCTTGTAAGTTGCAGAATCTTCTTGAACTGTTCAAATAAGAGCTTGCATTTGCCCTTGAATCATAACTTTGGAGTTCATTAACGATTTGATTTGAAAACGTATTGCCTTCTAGATTCGGATTTCAATTGTTTCTCCTCTGTTATTTCTGATGCTTTTAATAGATTATGATTTGATAGTTACTCTGTTGATGATGAATATTATGATACGATAGTTACTCTTTATTCTCGTGATGAAATCCCAAATATAACATATAGTGTGAATTATTTCTGTTGTTGCAGAGGTTATTTGGCACCAGAGTATGCGATGGTAGGCAAGCTGACACGCAAGGCTGATATTTACAGTTTCGGTGTTCTTCTTATTGAAATAGTCACTGGGAGATGCAACACAAACATGCGATTACCCACTGATGAACAGTATATTCTTGAAAGGGTATGTAGTATTTTGAACTGCTTTCATGGTTTATATTTGCTTTGCATGTTTGTGTGTCTGGTGGGGTCTATTGGAAAATGGAAAGTATTTCTATTTTATGATGGGAGGCAAAAGCTAGAATAAGAATGAAAATGCAGTGGCCAAGTTTATTGTTAGCTTTTCTGACATCCCCCACCTCTCCCGGGGGAAAAAAAAGGAACACATGAACATGCACAAATATCTAAGGAATAAACAGGGGAAGTATTAAGTAAATTAATAAAACTAATAATCTATATTTGAAGGTGGATGAGGTCTCGAAACGAAATCAACATAATTCGAGTGCACAGTATTTAGTTGGATGCACTTTTGTGGTTGTGGTAGTAATAAGCTGCAATTTCATGACCATTTAAAGTTGTATATGTAGTATTCTAGTTTTGGTTGAGGTTTACAAACATCAGACTTACCAAACTGACAATGTAAACTTGTATTCTAGTTTTGGTTGAGGTTTACAAACATCAGACTTACCAAACTGATAATGTAAACTTGTAACTGCTGGTTTATTCTTCGAGACATTGGACGTTGTTCACTTCTTTGAAAGATTGCTTGAGGCTTGATTTTGATTGCCTCTACCAATTTGAGCTGCATATGATTATGAGACTTCATTGATTTTGATTCATCTAGTTCTCTGTGCACCAGGCCTAGAGTTTCTCCATTGGGCTAATTGAACTTTAAAAATGATTGATATCTTAAAGATGGGCTTAATTAACAAAACCACACAGTGATGGCTTACTGTGTGTTAAGTTGTGGAACTTAATTATTGCTGCCATGCAGAGCCAATACTCAGATTGATCTCGTAATTTTACAAATGACAGTTTGAGAATTTCACACTTGTAATTTCGATTTTACCCTAATTTTTTTATAAATAGGGACCATCATAAGGATTTTGGATCATCATCAAAAAAGGAAAGAGAAATGTTAGAGAAAATAGGATGTGCATTTTTCAAATTATAAACTTATTTTCATCATAGTGAATTATCATAGCACTAGAAGAGGACGTAATCTCACATTGAGACGAACTTCTATAAATCTTGCGTGTTCTTGTATGTTTATTTTCTTTTTGCGATTTCATTGTTCTTAGTGGTATAACATTAGGATTTCTAATTCTCAATACTATGCTATGACCGTTGAAACTTTCCTGCAGATATGGCAACTCTACAAGAGAAGGGAGCTGGTAACACTGGTAGACACATCATTGAATG